GAGAAACGGCGGCGGAGGTGGCGGAGACAGTGGCAGTAGAGGTGGCGAGGGTCTAGCCTGAGGGGGAGGGGGTGGGGGAGGGGATGAGGAACGGTGAGGGCGGCTGGGGCGGCCGGGAAGGCAACACAGGCGAGGCGCGGCGCACCTCAAACTCGAGCGAGTAGCGGGAATATCACCCGCTGCTCCGGCAGGAGATTGCTCCCCCGCCGCCCCCTGGGTCACCCCGAGTGACCTCGCAGCCCACGCCGTGAGGCGCTGCTGTCAGGGGGGTTTATCACCGCCGTATCCACCCCACACTGGCCGCCGAGGGGCCCGGCGGGCTGAGGCGCGCGAGGCGGCTTTCGCTCCCGTGGGGCGGCTCTACCCGTCTCAGCACGGCGTCCCGAGGTGTAGCCGTGTACCTGGTGGCAGGGCCATCACTCACACGCCTACTCGCGGCACAAGGGAAGCCGTGACGCGATCGCGAGAGGCGAGATGGGTGATGGCGAGACTGTCGTTTGGCCCGTTTGAGGCTGAAAGGATGACCGCGGACGATGAGGGCGACGATTTATCGCGGCTACTGAGCAGGCAAGGTCCGGACCTACAGGATGGAGGGGCGAGTAGTGAGACTCGGGACCATATCTTCGCGTCGAGAGACGAAAATCCGGATTCTTGGCCGCCAGCGCCGCCGGGCGCCGAACGTCACTTAAGGGAACTGCGCGACGACGACGACATTACTGACCGGGAGCGATCACCACCGCCCTTCTGGTGGTGTTTGCCGGTCGGGGGGGCGTCGGCAGCACCGCCGTTCCGCGCGGATGTTGCAAACGGTGGCTCGGGGCACCTATTTCGGCAGCCCCGGGGCGGGAGCCGAGGAGGGGCAGCCGTTGCGGTGGCGCCATTGCAGCTCGGCGGCGCGTGGGGAGCCGAGCGGCTCCCAGCGATCCCGCGAGAGAAGGGCCCGCATCCGTCACGGATGCCGCGCCCACGCTGCCCGACGCAAGCGCCAGATGGGAGAGGAGGTTGGAGCCCTTCTGCGCTTCGAGGTGCAAGATAACTCTGGCGATATTTAGCGGGAGGAAGCCAGGTGGGGTTTACAGTTCTGCCACGACGTGCGGCCTAGATTTAGCCCACGCGCCTCTGCTCGCAAACACTCCCCCATTGAATTGTCACTGCCCGTGAGTGCGAGATAGGGCTAGCCGCAGGCAGCTAGCCCGTGAGGAGAGCGTCCATAGACACCTCACTTAGACCCCACACACGGTCTCGTCCGTGCCTCGCCGGCCGGAGAGATTGCTGGAGGTAGAGCAAGCCTGCTCTAGCCTCGCATGTCACTTCCTGTCGTCTGTTGTGTCGTTGTGCCCTTGTTTGTTTCTCTTGGCACCGTGGAGTGCTGGGGGGGGCGACAGGGAGGATATGTATGGCCTTGAGTTATGTGTAAGCCGACTCAGGGTGTGTGGCAGCCCGCTGGCTGTGTGTCTTGTGAGCTTGTTTGTGTCTGTGTGTCGCTCGTGCGTGTCGTCATCATCTGTCTAGCGTCCACCCATACCGCGTTGGTGTCCAGTCCGAGCCTGGCTGTTCTTCACCTTTCTACCTACCTACCTAGTTGTAGCCCAATGTGTGGAGTGCGGTTGGCAACCTCACACCCAGGGCCGGGGAGCTGCGAGAAGGCAGAAGCGCACCCAGCGGGCCGGATGATCGGCGGCATCGGGCTAGAGGGAAAAAACCTTCTCCCGCGTCCCGGCGCGATTTTATTCCTCCGGACTCCGCTGGGAGTGCCCAGGGACGACGGCAAGAAACCCATGGGTGAATTTGACAACTACTCTTCGCCCTTTTCTTTCCAGCCATAAAAAAGAAATCTCGCGCGCGCTTTCCGTCAGAGAGGGGGGGGGGGGGCAAAAAGAATTCTTCGTCCTCCTGGCGCTTGCCTTCCCTCTAGGGACTGCGAAGAGAGATAGGAAGAGGCAGACGCCCAAGGCGCAAGGGTGGGCGACGGATAGCGCACCACACACCTCTTCTTAAAATCCCTGTGAGCTGTGTGGTGGCGGCGTGCCGTCCTCCCATCCCGGCATCCCTGCCTTGGGTTGTCCGTGCCGCGCTTTCTTCTTTCTTTGATCTTTCCCTCTCGCCAGGCGGAGCTGGGAGGACATGCCGGCGGCCTGCCGCACGACAAACGGTGTCATCGTGTCGCTCAGATCGCCATCGATAAATAAAGCACTGGATGGACCGCGTCCGCGACGCCTCGCTCATTGGCCTGTCCGAGGGTTTCCGGCAACCCAGAGGGAAACCAGAGGGTCCCCAGCACTTTGCGTTTCCGGAAGTTTCCAGGGAAACCAGAGGGTGTTTGGTGCTCCATTCTGTTTCTCTCGAGTTTCCCTCGGGAAACTCGCGAGTTTCCCTGAGTCTGAGAGCTGGTCTGGGGCAAAATCTGGGGCAAAATTGAGGAAATCGGCACGATACCCAGGTATTTTCCAGGTATACCGGGGTTTTCCAGGTATACCCGCAAAATACCCGGTATTTTGCCGATTTTGGCCCCAAAACAGCCTCAGACACGGCTCAGAGCCCCCCCAAAATGACGAATTCCACGGAGTTTCCCCGGGGTTTCCCGAGGAAACTAGAGGGTGTTGTAGGGAAACGAGCAGGAAACACGGAAAGGAAACCAGGTAGGGTGCGAGAGGAAACCCTCGGACAGGCCAACTCGCTCAGGGCGTGCGCCGTTGCGCCGCACATGCTGCCTTCTCGTGGCGAGTAGCTTGGAGCCCACTGGAGCGCACTTGGAGCGCAACTGGAAGGCACTGCGCCACGAGGCTCTGCCTCCGCTTGATCTGAATTGGGAAAAAAGAAATCGGTCCGCAAAACCCATCGTGCTGGGCTCGCTTGCCGCCGCTAGCCGCCAAGACGTCATGCCCGCCGCGCCCTTCCGCGCCTCCGCCGTGCTCCGCACGCCTCTGCCGTCTGCTGGCAGCGCGCCGGGTGGTGAAGTCCAAAAGAACGTCCTGAAGGCGGCTACGGACGGCCGCGTGGGACCGGTGCGACAGTGGCTGAATGAAGGCGGGAAGGCGGACACTCTCGCTGAGGGACCCTCTGAGGCCGGCAAGATAATTCCATGCACCCTGCTCATCCTCTCCGCGCAGAACGGGCACGTGCAGACTGTCGAGCTCCTCCTGAAGCGTGGCGCAGACATCAACCTGCAGAACAGTCTCGGCACCACAGCGCTCAACGCTGCAGCCAACTGTGGCCGCGAGCGGGTGGTGGACGTGCTGCTGCAGCACGGCGCGGAGATCGGGACGACGCTGACAGCGGCTGCCCAGGGCGGCAAAGAGCGGGTGGTCGACCTGCTGCTGCGGCGTGGCGCGGACATCGACCAGCAAGACGAGAACGGTGGCACCGCGCTGATGCACGCCGCCTACTTCAACCGCCCCGCCGTCGTGCTGCGCTTGCTGCGGGCGGGCGCGGACATGACGTTGCGCGATGCGTACGGCAAGACGGCGCTGCAGTGGGCCAAGGAGAGGGGCCTCGCTGAGTGCGTCGAGGCCTTCAGGACGTACCTCGGGGCGGTGGCGGCGGTCCGGAGCAAGGCGCCGTCGGCCGAGGCAGGCGGCGGAGACGCGGCGGTGGGTGCGAGTGCCGCGGCCTCTGCTTCGAGCGGCGAGGGTGGCAAGGAGGCCGAGCCGACAGAAGAGGTTGTGCAAGCGGCTCAGCGAGGCGACGAGGAGGCGGTGCTGACGTGGCTCGACGGCGACGGGCGGGTCGACGAGAGGTTCGTGTGCGCCTTTTCGGACGGCTCTTTTAGCGGCATGACGCTGCTGATGATCGCGATGGCCTACGGCCGCGAGGGGCTGGCCGAGGCGCTGCTCCAGCGCGGTGCGGATGTCTCGTTGCAGACCAGAGGCGGCAGCACCGCGCTGAGTATCGCCGCCTCGTGCGGCTTCGAGAAGCTGGTCGAGTTGGCGTTGCGGCACGGCGCAGACATGACGTTGCGCGATGAGTACGGCAAGACGGCGCTGCAGTGGGCCAAGGGGGAGGGCCACGCCAAGTGCGTGCGTGCCCTCGAGGAGCATGCGGCAGCGGAGAAGGCGGCGGCGGAGGCAGCGAAGAAGGCTGCGGAGGCGGCGGAGAAGGCTGCGGCGGAGGCGGCGTGGGCCGCGGGAGCGGCGGAGAGGGCGGCGCAGAGGGCGGCAGAGGAGAAGGAGGCGGCGCGGCACGCCGAGGAGCTGCTGGCGGAGGTCGAGGCGGAGAAGCGCGCTAAGGGGAAGAAGGGCAAGAAGAAGAAGAAGCAGGGCGGCGGGGCGGGCGGGGCGGGTTCGTCGCAGGAGCCCGAGGAGGGTGCCGAGGCGCCGTCGGAGGCAGACGCAGCCGAGGCGGCGAAGAAGGCCGAGGAGGCGAGGCTTCTCCTGCTTCTCGAGACGCTCACCGAGGAGAGGATCCGGTTCGGCATCACGCCGGAGAGCCAGGCAGCGGCGTCGGCAGAGGTGGCCGAAGCTGCGCGCTTGGACGCTGCGGCGGACGAGGCGGAGGAGGAGGCGGAGGCGGAGGAGGCGGCCGAGGCGGCGGCCGAGGCGGCGGCCGAGGCGGCGGCCGAGGCGGCGAGCGAGGCGAGCGAGGAGGAGACGGCGGAGGGGCAGGCTGCGGCGGCGCGCGAGGCCGAGGCGGCCGAGGCCGCGCGTTGGAGTGCGGCGGCGGAGGCGGCGGAGGAGGCCGCGGCGGAGGAAGAGGCTGCGTTGGCGGCGGAGGAGGCGGCGATGGAGGCCGCAATCGCCGCCGCCAAGGCGAGGCGCGCGTCGGTGGCGACGGCGAGGGCCAAGGCAGCGGCAGCCAGGATGGCGGCGGAGGCGGCCCAGCGCTCATAGAGAGCTGCTTGGGAGCACACTGCACGCATGGTTCGAACACGGGCGCGCGTTATCTCGCTGTTTCGCAGTTTCGACTGGAGGCTTCCGCAGCCAATCTCGTCAGCGCTGTGTGGAGCTCCGGCGCGGTGGAGCCTTTGGTCGGATTTGGGGCACGGCGATCTTGAGCAGGTTGTGCTGCTGCCAAAGCCGAAGGTCGAGGCGTGGGGGTTGGGACAGTGAGGAAGGGGAAGCCGTGAGTTCAGTACACGAGAGTCGAGACGGTCGTGAAAGAAAGTCTGTCTGTTTTTGGCCTGTGCATTTTCTGCAAATAAAGGTACTTGGCGTGTGCCTGTTGTGAGAGAGAGCTTAAACCCCTAAATGCAAAACGGCTACCGAAACGGGGTGCCCGGAAGGGCGGCCACGATGTCGAACAGGATCTCCCTCACATCCGGGCCCGAGTAGTGCAGGAACTCGAGCTCCTCGTAGCTGACGCCGTCCACGGACATGGCGCGCGCCTTGGGGACAGAGTGGAAGACCTCCCAGAAGGCCTTCCTGTACTCGGCGGAGTTGGTCGCGTAGCGCTTCACGCCGCCTGAGGGGCTCAGGTACCGGCTCGAAGGTGCTGGGAGGCGGCGGCCCGTCTCGTTGAGGATGGAGGGAGCGGAGCGTGTTGCGCGCCAGCGCCTGCTCTTCGGAGAGCGTGCCGTCTGCGTGTCCGTCGTCGAAGAGGCCCGTGTCGGCGATCGGGTTGGTGGAAAAGCGCGCGCGCAGGCCTTTGAGAGGTAGCCGGAGTTGGCGAGGCTGAGGACGACGGCGAGGAGGTGAGCGTCGTGGTCAGGCCCCGCCTTCGCGCTGCGGCCGGCTCCGCCACCCTCCGTCGCCGGCAGGCCCGCCGCCGCCCGCCGCTGCTGCTCCTGTTCTGCTGCGGCGCGTTCCTGCTTCACGCGAGCCCGCCTCGCCTCCTCCGCCTCGGCGGCCTCCTGCTGCATCTCCTCGACCAGCCGCTCCAGGCCACCCTGCATCACCATGCGCACCCGCCCCTTGATCTCCTGCCCCGTGCGTGCCTTGCCGCCCTCTCGTAAATGGTTGAGGGTCACCATCTTGGCGAGGGCGAGAAAAGCGATGCCGAGGGCGCAGTTGCGGTTGGACATGTTGTCTCGCTGGTACTTCATCGCGTGGTAAAGCATGTGGTAGTACTCTCGCCTCGCACACTTCGGCGGTCGGGGCGGAGGCGGACGGTGTTAACCGCGGCGAGGAGTCGGGGATCATCGGCCCAAGGGCGGAGCCACTCGTAGTCGTAGTTGATGCCCGGGCTCGATATGTGGTATCTCGACCCGCGGTCGCGGAAGGCAGCCCGCCGCGCCTCGTCCGCCGCCGCCCTGGCCCTGAGGCGCTCCTCGGCGCTCCGTCCGTCGCTGGCCTCTTTGGCGGCCGCGCGCTGGACCGTCTTAACCCACCTACTGTGGTTGGTCCGGAGCCCGTCCGCCGTCTGCTTCTTGCTCCTGTAGCAGACGGAGTTGTAGTAGTGAGCAGGCGACCCGACCGCGGCCGACTGGTGCAGGTGGCGAAGGAACTCGGAGCGCCCGCCCTCCCACTTCTTGCCCGCGGTGTCGACGCCGTCCCAGCGCGGGTGGTCCTTCTCGATGTGCTGAATCAGGCTATTGCGTCGCAGCCCTCCACCGGGCAGGGAAAGACTCCGGCGTCGTACAGGTCCGACTCCAGCACATCGGAGCCAAGCTGGTGCACCTGCCGCTCCTCGTTCATGTGCTTGCCCATCGCCTTGAAGGACTTGGATTGGTTTGCCAGCCCGAAGCCCCGCGGCCCCTGCAGCCCGCAGCGCGAGCACCGAGCCCCGGGTGTGTCCCTCCGATCTCCGGGAGGGTACGCGCACAGCACCTCGGGGATCTGAGGAACGCCCGGGGCGCCGTCGTTGATGATCTCGCACACGGGCCCCTCGTCGTCGTCCGCCGGGGGCTCCTCGCCGCCGCTGTCCATCGCCGCTTCTGGAGCAGCGGCCGGTGGCGCGTTGGCCGGGGGCGGCGGTGCGTTCCCCTTCGGTCTGAGGTGCCGATTGCCCAGCCCGTCAGCAGCAGCGGCCACCCTGGCGATGGCGACGCAGTGCTTGTCGTGCTGGAGGAAGAGGTGGAGCACGTGTTGTGGCGTCGCCGCCGCCGTCGGCCACGTGATCTGCGCCATGCACCGCTCGTCCGAGTCGAACTTGATGGAGTCGACGATAATCGGGACGCCGAAGAGGTCGGCGACACCCAGTAGAAATCCATCGCATCCCCCCGCGTTGGTTCGGACCCCGTGGATGAAATCGCTGAGGTCGCGCGTATCGTTCATAGGCGCATCCGATGAGAAGCCGGCTCTGTGTACCGACAGCAGCAGCTTCCGCACTGTCGTGGGGTCCCCCTGGCCAGGCGGGGCAAAAGGCTGGCGGGGTTGCCGACTCAGCACTCCTGGCTTCTGGAGGTGGTCGGCCACCGCCCTGCGCAGCCTGTCGCTGGCTCGCTTGGCGTCCCAGGCCTGCGCTGGCGCATGGACAGCAGCCCGTGCGAGATCAGGACGCTCTCTGGTAGCAGTTTGCGGAGCTGCCATGCGCACGCGGCAATCATGCAGTCGCCGGTCGCGTCTAGGTCCGCCGCCCTCCATTGGCAGTCCTCGCAGCCAAGGGGCGGGTTGTGTTTGTCCTCCAGAGCGCGGGCTAGTAGTGGGAAGCTCCGCGAGCAGACCCCGAGCCGCTCGGACGGGCCGACGGTCGCGTAGTGAGCACCGGACGCGGTGAGCAGGGACAGGGCCTCTCTGAGGGCACGGATCGAGTCCATCTCCCAGAGGCGAGCGCCACCCCCCCCCCCTCCCGCTGGCCGCGGCCCGCCCGCGTCGCTGGCGTTGTCGTGCAGAGCCGCGCCTCGGGCCTCGCCACCGTCGCTCTCCGTGGGTCGCAGCCTGCCTTCAAGCACCTGGCGCTCGCCGGCGGCGCCCTCCAGCATGATCGTGTAGTAGTGGGTACCCTAGTACTCGGTCGAATCGTCGGCATGGACCTCAAGCACGACGGCGTCCGCATCCGGGTGTTCACTCGCGTAGACGACATGCTCGTCCTTCTGGAAGCGGGGCTTCTCAGCCCGAGGGCCTGCGGTGGCGCTGTGGTCGCCCGCCGCCGCCACGCCGCTCTCGCCGCCGCCGCCGTCCTCCGCGGCGACGGCGCCGCCACCCGCGGTGTCGACCGCGGTGTCGACGGGCATCTCGTCCTCATCGTCGTCGTGCTTTCGGCGGCGGTCCTCCCGCGCGGAGGGCGGATGGAAAACGGACAACCCAAGGGAGGGATGGGAGGACGGCACGCCGCCACCACACAGGGGTTTTTAAGGAGAGGGGTGTGGTGCGCTAGCCGTCGCCCACCCTTGGGAGTCTGCCTCTTCCTATCTCTCTTCGCAGTCTCTCGCCGCTTCTCGCTGCAACCTTCATGCCACCTCGCGGTCGCCCCCTTCTCGTCGTGCTCTCGCTTGTCGCTTCTTCCTCTGTCGCGTCGCTCTCCTCTGCCTCGTTCTGCGCCGCCGCCGCCGCCTGCCGTTCCCTTGTTCTCTCGGCTTCTTTCGCCTTTCGGCGCCGCAGCTCCGCCTGCGGCGAGGGCGGTCGAGTGCACGGACCTTATTGCCTCGCCGTCCTCGCAGGAGTCGCTTAGGCGGCTCCCGTGGTGTACCTGTGTTAGTGCCAGTGCGCGCCAGTCCCGTGCCTAGTGTCAAAAGAAAGAAAGAAAGAAAACAGACAGCCCAAGGGAGGGATGGGAGGACGGCACGCCGCCACCGTGCCTAGCTGACTTAGCTTCCTAAAATTCTTTTTCCTGCGAGACCGCCAGTCCCGGTGAGTGAGCTCGGAAAATTCCTCTTCGCGCGTTTCAGCCGCATGTGAGCTTCGGGCTTCGCACAGCGTCGCCTCATGAAATCGCTCCATCTCCACGCGGGCCTGCTCTGTGTTCTCGTGCACGCCGCCGCAGCCATGTCGCGGCAGCAGGCGCTGAAGGAGCTGGATCTCCGAGCCGGGTACGACGGCGGGGACCTCAAGCGTGCATATCGCGCCCGCGCCATCGCCACGCATCCGGACAAGGGCGGGTCGCCGGAAGCCTTCCTGCGCGTGTCCGAGGCGTACGAGATCCTGAGCGGGCGAAAGCAGCCGAGCGGCAGCGGCTTTGGCGGTGAACGTGCAGGTGGCGGCCGGGGCGGTGACAGTGGTGGCGGTGCAGCGATGAGCGAGCAGGAGGAGGCGCAGATGCGGGCGCAGGCAGAGGCGGCGATGGCGGAGGTGGGAGCGCCGCGAGCGCGAGCGTGCAAGAGATGGCCGAGAGATGCCCGATTGCACAGGCCTATGACCGCTCGCCCTTACAGGCGCTGCGCCGCGCCGAGGAGATGCTGGGCAAGGTGCTCGACGACTTGTTTGCGGCGGAGGACCCGCTGACTGAGCTCGTCGAGCGGCTCATCGGTCCGGTGGGTATGAACCCGGCGAAGTGGCTGCTCAAGCGCGCACTGAAGGGGCTCGCCGCCGCAGCAAAGCCGCTGCTGCAGCGGGCGATGGAGAACGCCGAGGGCGCGACCATCACGGTCAACGGCAAGCCCATGTCGGGAAAGGAGGCGTCGCAAGCCTTTGCCGAATGGAGGGAGGCGCTGAGGGGGAGCGCCGGCACCGGCCGCAGTGAGGCGCAAGCCGCCGCGAGCGAGGGCAAGCGAGGGCCGAAGCGCGAGCTATGAACTATGTGAATTGAGGCGACAGCGGCGGGGCCCACACCCGCACAGGGCTTCAAACGCCAGTGTGAAGTCACAAGTTACAGCGAGTACACACGCTCACGTACGTACGTTTCTTGTGCATGGGCGCCCAACAAAGTTCAAAACAATACATCATCGACCAAGAATCGCATGCCGAAGCGGGTCCGAAGCGCAGCCCCAACCGCGCACACGTGAGCTTCGCGAGCCCAACGCGCGCGGATGCGGCTGACAAGCAACTCCGCCGCTAATATGCCAACCCGCGGCCCTCCCTCCTCACTGCCGCTTTCGGTAGCGGTCGCGCCGGTCGGCCGCAGACAAGTCCGCCTCGCTCACGCCTCGCTTGGTGCCGGCGGGCTGCAGCGCGACGCTCCACAGCAGCGCCTCCCTCTCCGGCCGGACCTGTTCACAGCGAGTGCGCGCTGTGAACAGCCTCGCCACGCGCCACGCGGCGCCCTTCGCCCGAGGCTCACCGGCGGGTCGGACTCGGCGGCCGTGCCGGCGCCGGCGCCGCCTATCCGCCGCACCGAGGGCGCGTGAAGCGGCACTAGCGGCTCGGACAGGCCGGCGGCAGGTCGGAGGAGGCCCTGCGTCTCCCTGCGGAGAGCGAGCGCGGCGGCCGCCTGGGGCGGGCGAGAGGCGGCGGGGGGGTGAAGCAATCGGCCAATGGGCGGACGCGTCGGCACGGCGAGCGAAGCGGCGGGGCAGCAGGACTGGGGCGGGGGCCTGGGCTTGCATAGCTTTGGTTGGCGCGGTGGCGCTGCCTCGCCTGCAAGTCTGGAGGGAGGCGGAGCTCGCGCGCCATCTGCCGCGCGTACTCCTCCGGCGTCAGGCCGCCGCCGCCTGAGGGAGAGGGCGGGAGGGAGAGAGGGAGAGGACTGGGAGGACGCACAGGGCGGGCGCGGTGCGAGGATGCGGCGGTATGCGGCGGTATGCGGCGGTGTGCGGCGGTGTGCCCTCGTTCACGTGCGCCCGGGGCTCCGCGCGGGTGTGGAGACGCGGGTCGGGCTGCGGCGATCTCCTCCCGCCTCCTGTGGCTCCCTCTAGGATCCGCCTGGCGGCCACAGCAGCCGGTCGCTCAGCTCGAGCCCGCGCCTGTGCGCCTGCCAGCTCACCTCGACCGGGGAGGCATCCGCGGCGGCAGCCTTTGCGGCGGCGCGCGCCGCCTGCTCACGTCCCGGAAGGAGTGAGACGAAGAGACGGGCAGCCGCCCTCGGGGGCGGGGGCGTGTGTGTGTGGCTTCTTGTGGCGGTGCGGCCTTTTCAGCGGCGGCGACCTGGGCGGTGAGTTCAGTGGCGATGGCGGCCGCGAAAGGTGGAGGCAGCGACAGCTCCTCCGCCGCGCGCGCCTATAGTCCGCCCACCCACCGGGGCACTCACCCCTCGGCTCGTTGATGGGAGCAAGACGTTTCCTTCTCCGCCGCAAAGTCGGAGGGCGAGAGCGAGGTGTCGCCGGCCTACGCGGAACATATCGGGGAGCAGAGTCCTAGCACGGGAGGGAGAGGAGGAGCACACGCACACGCGGGGCAGGCACGGGCGCACGGGTTGTGTGGTGCGGTCTCAGGCAAGGCGTCGCCGCAGGCTTGAACGCGTCACCGCATCCAGATGCCGGCATCTAGATTCCGCATCTACGGGGCCGGCGGCATTCCAGAGCAGCTCGTCCTCAAACACAGCCTCCGGGTGGGGCGGCGAGAGGGCGGCGCCGTCGACGCGCAGCCGCACCGCCACCAGCCTCTCAGCGCCGAGCAGCGGCGGAGGAGGCAGCCTCTCCTCGAGAGGGAGGCCGAGCGAATTGTGCGCGGGCGTGCAGCTCGCCTGGGCGGTGGGAGTCGGGCGAGACGGGTCCCTGCTCCGCATCTCGCCCCCAGAGATGAAGTTGCGCGTACTTCCCGGTGTGCGTGTGGCCTCTCGTCCGTGCTAGCAGGCGAGTCCTCTCGGGCGGCTGCATTTCTCGCCTGTGCAGCCTTGATGGCCGCCTGAGCCGCCGTGTGCGCTTCTGCAGCGCGCACGTGGCGCTCTTGCGCCGCGATCACGGCGGGCGACGATTGCGCTGGATCACTCACTGGCGGAGGCGCCGCGCTGTTCGCTGGAAGCCTCGCTATCAAGCTGGAGCGCGCGACGCCGTCCGGGTCGGGGGCGAGGGCGGCAGGAATGCGCAGCGGGAGCGAGGGTAGTGTCGCGGTCTGCTGGGACGCCACGTCCAGGTTGTACATGGCAGCGGAGACGCCGTAGGAGCTGAACTGCGGCGGCGGCGGGGTGGGCGCCGAGCGCTGCGTGCGTCGCGAGGACATCAGGGTGTAGAACCCGAGGCTCCACACTGGCCACCAAGCACCCGAATGCGCCGTCAGAAAAAGAATTACGGCTCGCGCGAAAAAGAATTATTTTTGCCCTTTTGCTTCGTTGTGAAGTAGTTTCTTTTTTTCGCCTACCCGCCGACCGCATTCCTGCCAAAGAAGCGGCGCAGGGCCGGCACGACCTTCGCGGCGGTGGGCGCGGCGAGTCGCGCCTCCTTCTCCGTGTCAAAGTCGAGCAGGAAGAGGTTGAGCGCCTTTGCGAGCGGCAGGAAGGCGGAGAGCAGGTCGAAGAGCGCCTCGTTGGTGCGCGTCCAGAGGAAGCTGATGTGGTTGGGCAGCAGGGCGTCGCCCTCGCGAAAGAGGAGGACGCCGCGGCGGGGCAGGCTCGGGCCAGCGTAGGCCAGGTCGGCGCTCTCAAAGGTCGAGAAGGGCGGCGCCTTGTTCACGGCCGCCAGGGTGAGCGAGTCCGCGGGCGACGTCTCCGAGAAGCGGTTGCAGCCGTCGCCCTCCGACGCGCAGAGGAAGAGCGGATCGCTGACGCGCGCCTCGAGCGCGCGGCCGAGAGGGCACGCGAGACACGCGCGGCCGAGTGCGAACTCGCCCGGCTGGGAGAGCGCCGTGCCGCTCCCCGCCGAGTGGCCCCAAATGCCCCAGCGCCGCGGCTCGTCGCCTAGAGCCGCCTGCGTCGCGGCGACGATGGCCTCGCGCGTCACGCCCTCCCGCGCCTCGTACGACGCGGCGAGCGACTCGGGCAGCTCCGGCGCCGCGACGACAAACCCGTCGCTCGCCAGCGCCTCGCAAGCGTGCGCCATGTCGAACGGCGAGCCGAGAAAGCCGTGCGCGAAGAGGAGCGCGTCGCCGGCGCGCGCCTGGGACGCGCAAGCCGCGCCGCGCCAGGGAGGCACTCCCGCCGGAGCGAGCGAGTAGGTCCTCGACGGCAGCCAAGATAGCCAACCGACGCGGAGCTTGGAGGCGATCCGGCCAATGTCAACCGTGTAGCCGTACTCCTCCGTCGGCACCCACGCGCCGCCACCGCCGGTCGGCCGCCTCGAATCCTGGCACCACACCGCGACTGGGATGCTCACGCCTTCGACGTCGACGCTCCCGCGCACGCAGCGAACGACGTCCTCCGCCTCTGCCGCGTGCTCCGCACGCGGTGTGCGGCCGCGAGGCTCGCCGCGAGGCCTCACGGGCCGCTGCGCCCAGAGACCAGCGGAGAGCGGGAGGGACGCGAGGAGGAGGCTGGCGCGGCGGCTGGCGCCGCTCATGCCGGCGGCTGATTTTTTTTCTCGAAAACCAAAGCCGACCAATTTTTCCGACCCGCCGCTTTCCTCCCGCGGGGATTGGCGGAGCTCGGCGGCTTGATCTCACATGAAAAATACGTAAGAGACACTGAAAAAACGCCGGTTTCCGGGAGGATTCCCTCGCCATACCCCCTCAGGCGCCGCTCTCAGACGTGCCGCTCCAGCGCGCATACCCCTCAGCGCGGTCGACCTCTTCGCCACCCTCCTTGGATCGCCGCCTGACTTTCCAGCGGGCCCGTCGAAGAATGCGCTCGGCCTTCCTCGTCGTCGCGCTGCTCGCACGCGCGGCCGCCCTCCGGCTCGTGTACGTGCATGGTGTCAGTCCAGAGGGCCCGGCTCACCCGCGCCTCGCAAAGGTCCGCGAGGCCGTTCATGGCGTGGAGGTGGTCGCGCCCGACATCACCGGCGGCGGCGACTCCTACGAGCAGTGCACCATCAGTGCCGCTCTGCGTGTGCTCCACTCCTGCTGCGAGGCCGAGGAGGGTCCCGTCTCGATTTGCGCCAGCTCCTTTGGCGCATTCGTTGCGCTGCTCTTCGCGGCCAGGCATCCGGAGAAAGTGAGCCGACTCTTCCTGCTCGGGCCCGCGCTCGACATGAAGGCCAACCTGCCTCTCTTTGTCGACGAGGACGGGATGGCGGCGTGGCGCGAGGAGGGCGTTCGCGAGATGGGCCCCGGCGTTCGGGTGGGGTGGCCGTGGGCGCAGGAGATCCTGGACCTCGCTGCGGGCGACTGCCCTCCGCAGCCGCTCTGCCCGATCACCCTCGTCATGCCTGAGTCGGACGTGCCGCGCGCCAAGGGCTTCCTCGACGCCACGCCCGCGGCGGCCGCGCCACGCCGCGTCCTCGCGACTCAAGGCTGGAAGCCGTACCAGGCCGACGCGGGGATCGAGGCGGTGCTTCCGCACCTGACGGCGTGGGCCGAGGCGTGCGCCGAAGGGAGCGCCCTCGGCCTCAGCGAGAGCGGCGCAGGCTACACGGTCGACGTGCTCCCGGCGGCAGACGGCGCAGTCTCGGCGGCAGCCGCAGCCGCAGCGGCCGCGTCACCAGAGCGCGAGTCTGTCCGCCGGCTGCAGATCCGGCCGGAGGACGTCGACGGCTTCCACAAGTCGTGGCGGTCGCACTTCCCCCCGAGCCACGAGATCCACAGCTACAATGCGAGGGAGGACCCGGCCGGCGCCGCGCGCGCCGTCGCCGCGTCGTTTGCGCACGCTACAAAGTGGCTGCCGAGCGACGTCGTGTCGGAGCTGCTCGACTTCCCCTTCAGCGCCGACGCGCCCGCGGCCCTACTCCTCTCCGGGCTGCCGGTCGATGAGGCGCCGCCCGACACTCCGATCGTCTCGGCGGTCCACGGCATCGGCACGGAGCTCGCACAGCCGCGCGTGCCGGTGGCCGAGTCGTGGACTCTCGGCCTCGCGCGGCTGCTCGGCCACCCCTTTGTGCCTCCCTTCTTCGACAAGGGCCACCGCGGCGGCCTCGTCCGCGACATGGTTCCCGTGCCCGGCGTCGAGAACTTGTGCGGCCTGCTCGGGCTGCATAGGGACTTCCCGGCGAGCGTCTTCGCTCCCTTCCCCGAGCCGGAGACCTTCCTGCTGGTCGCTGTGCGCGGGGACCCGTCGCACGTCGCGCGGACGGTGGTGGTTGACTCCGAGAAGCTGATCGCGAGCCTCTCCGCCGCCGACGTGGCGCTGCTCTCGAAGCACGAGATGCAGGCGCAGGTGGTGCTGCCCAACGGCACGGCAGTCGACCAGGGCGCGCCCTTCCTGCCGATCGCACCGCGGGAGGGCCGCGCCGCCGCCGCGACGCTCTTTGTGCCCGACGCCGGCGCGCACGGCGAGGGCGCCGTCGGTCGGATGGTCAGTCCGGAGGGCGGCGCGGAGGTGGAGGCGGCGTGGGAGCGCATGATGGCGGTCGGGCTCGAGGTTGCCGATTACGTCGACCTCCAGGCGGGCGATTGCCTCATCCTCAACAACGTGCGCTGCTGCCACGGCCGGACGGCGTTCGAGCCGAAGCTCGACGGCAACGATCGCTGGCTCGTCAAGAGCTACGTGACGAGCGACTTATGGAAGCGGCCCGCGACTGGCAAGTACGGCGCGGAGGCGTATCCAAACATGGTGACGCGGGCGGTGGAGCGAGTGAGCAACGTCGACTGAGATGGATCAATCTCTTTTGATCCTGTCCCCCGCTGCCGCTCCACCGGCTCCAAGTCCCTGTGCGCTGCGGAGAGACGAGAGTTACGTACGCCTCCGTAAGGACTAAGGAGCTGAGATTGCAGATTGCGACGCGGGGTGAATTTTGTATTGCCGTGTACTAGCCGCACGCAGGCTGTACAGCTGCATGTTGCAACATGCTCCACAACGCGTCAGAGAGCGTAAATTGACACATACCATACATCCATACTCAGCAGATGCCCTGCCCGTCTCATCGTCGCGCCTCCACGCGCAAATCGCAGCTCCCATGATCCCAAGGTACGGCACCGGGCGACGGTACGGCCAGGCGCGTGCCATCAGGCAGCTGCTGCGCGACCCGTCCCTCCCTCCTCCGCTCAGCCAGCGCCTCGCGGGACGCCAGCAGTTGCGCCGCCAGCGCGGCCGCGCCGTGGCAGCCGAGCGCCATCCGGGCGAGTGGCGCGCCCAGGCACTTCTCCATGTCGTCGACCGCCTGGGCAGACCGCAGCAGCGGCGCGAGCGTCTCGGCGCGCAACCGCCGGTCCGCAGCGAGGCGCCGAATGAAGTCAGGACCGGCTCCATAAGGCAGCGATGGGCAGTCATAGTGTTCGATCCTGCGCGCGACCACCGCCGAGGCGAGCTCCTGCAGCGTCGGCACCGCTCGCGCGTCGCTCTGGGGCGCGCTCTGCATGCAGTGTCGGCGCGGCCAGAGTTCTGGGTTCGGACTTTTTGCGGGGTTTGGTCGGAAAGCGCAGGGAATCGCCGCTCCCTCTACTGCCGCCGAGCCCGCAGCGCCATGAGGTAGGAGCACGCGCCCGTGTCGCAGAGAGAGCTGCTGCAGCTGCTCCACGCTCCACTCGCCGACACCCTTCTGGTCGCGGAGGGCCTCAATGTCGCCGAGTTCGGGATGTACTACAAGTCCCCCGAGATTGCGCCGCTGGCGCAGCCGGCCAACCCGCGAGCAGGAGCGGATTGATATTACCCACCAGATCACTACAACACCCCAGGACAGGGCTGGTGGGCTCGGCTCAAAGTCGAGCGTGAGGATGACCTCTCGGTCGCAGCCTCACGCGCAGCCCGTCAGCGCACCTGTAGCAAGGCGTCCAGGATGAGATTACGGGCTGCGCGCTGCATCTCGCCTGTGCTGCTGCAATGGGTTTGGGGGGCAACGGGCGCAAGAGGTACAGGCAGCGGTGTGGCGGGTGGTGGCATGCACCCTCGCACGATTCATCTGCCCCGGAGCATGCCCGTTCGCGTGTTGCCGTCGCGTACTCGACAGACAATGACGATCGGCCGTCGATCCCGAGGCACGAGGGTCGTCGGTTGAGCTAGGGAGCCTGGCGATGGACGCCACCGCGACCCCTCGTGGCATCTCTCTCGCCGTCGGCGAGCTGGGGGCGTGTTGCCGTCGCGTACATGAGTGACGCAGCTCTGGGACGTACGAGCTCACCGGGGGAAGTGACCAGTTGCAGGGGCAACCGGACCACCGCGACCTTCGACAGGGAGGGCCACGCCTCCCCGAGCCTGGAGAGGAGCCGGCGGAAGGGGGGGGCGAGCCAGGGACTATAGAGAGGCCGCGGATGCGGGCGCGACTCGTCGACCAGGGAGAGCCGGCCCGACCTCCCTGGGCGGAGAGGCGACGCGACCCTTTGCCACCGCCTTTGCCCGGGGAGTCGGGCGCGGGATCGCCGGAGGCGGAGTCAACGGGATCAGGCAGAAAAGACGAGACGGCGGTGGGGCCGCGGCCGAAGAATCATAAGAGGGGAAGGCGGGCTCCGCAGCTGCTGCCCGACCAGCGGAAAGCGAGCCGGGGGGAGGACCGGGAGGATAGGAGAGCCCCAGAGGCCTGAGGGGTGACGTCTAGTTGGGATGTACGTCGTGTGCGTGTCTGGTGTCCATTATATAGCTCCGAGTAGAGGGGGCGCTCCGCAGCTTAGGGGAAACCCAAAGCGCAGACCAACCCTCGGAGAACCGTGTTTACTTTATGGCCCTTTTCCTGCGAACGCGCACCCCCGGGGCTAGGGCTCTCTTGCCCGCAACCCGATGCCATTCATCCGGCCCGCTGGGTGCGCTTCTTAGAGCTCCCCGGCCCTGGACGTGCGGTTGATGACTGCACTCCAAGTGCTCCAAGTACGACCGTTGAAGAAAGCTGGGCGGCTCCTGCCAAGAGGGGGGGTAAAGCCGTATCCGAGCAATGATTCAGTGTGCCTCTGTCTGATACACTTGCTTTTTAGCTTTCACGTCTCTCAGAGTCTCTGTACCGTACGTACACATGCGCGTAAAGACAGACGGCAATCATACGAGAGAGATGAAAGAGCAAGAACACGTCGTGGTGGGAGCTCCCACCACGTACAAAGGAGTCTCGTAGTACGTAGAATGTCGCCAGTGAGGAGCATCCGCTCTTCACTACGACTACTCGTGGTCCGTGGACTCCGTCTCGGAGTCGTCCGTCACCTCGGTCCAGCGCTTGCGCCCCTCCTTGTCGAGAAGCATCTGTCCGAGGCTGGATGTGCCGAGCCCGTCCGCCTCCACCTCCGCTGAGCTCTCCAATTCGATGGATGACAGCCACTCGATTTCCTCGCCCTCCCCGCCAGCCTCGCCCTCCTCTCCCGCCTCGCCCTCCGCCTCGGCCCCCGCCTCGCCCTCCTTCTTCGACCGCTTGGAGCGCGGCGAGGCGGGGGCCGCGTCATCCTCCGCGTCGACGTCCACCGAGCGCTTGCGGAGCTCAGCGTCGCGCTCCTCGCGCGACTTGCTGCCCGTGATCTCCACTTCTGGTGACGCTGGCCCCGACACTGGCCCCGACACTGGTGACGCTGGCCCCGACACTGGTGACGCTGGCTCCGGCAGCTGCAGCGGCTCGCTGGACGGCGAATGAGCACCCCAGCCGTGGATGTTCCGCACGCTGACCTTGGCGCGGTAGGTCACCCCCTCGGACAGCCCCTTGACGAGTGCAGACTCGACGCCTGCCCGGAAGGCCCGTCCAAGCGGCTTGAGAGTCGAAGCCGCGGCGTCCACAGTCTGCCACGCGCCGCCGTCGCTGACATAAACCGCCACAAAGTCAAGCGCTGGATCGCCCGGCCTGACTGGTGGCGGCGAGAAGTGCACGCGTAGGCTCGTCGAGTCGACCGCCTCGAGAAGCGGTGCAGCAGGGGCGATCGGCCTGAGTGCCGCCGCGCCGAGGGTAAGCGGCTCGCTGACAGGCGAGTAGGCACCCCAGCCGCAGGCATTCTTCGCACTGACCTTAGCGCGGTAGCTCAGACCCTCCACCAGCCCCTTGACGAGAGCAACCCGCGAATCTGCCCGGTGGGCCGTGCCAGAGCCATCCGCAGGTGTGAGAGTTGACGACGTGGCGTCCACAGAATGCCACGCTCCATTGCCGGCCTTGACATGAACGGTCACGATGCCATGTGCCGATGCGTCCGGCCGGACTGGAGGCAGCGTGAAGTGCACTCGCAGGCTCGTCTTGTTAACCGCCTCGAGAAGTGGAGCGGCGGGAGCAGACGGAGCAAGGGAGGCCAGCGTCAGCGACTTGCTGGCGGGCGAGTCGGGGCCCCAGCCAGACTCGTGGTCTCCGAGGCGGACTCGAGCGACGTACGTGGCCTTCGGGTCGACGCCCTTGACCACGCAGCTCGTCGTTTTGAGCGGCAGCGGCAGAGCGTCCGGCTCGTCCAGCTTTCCTGACCGTGCGTCGACCCGCAGCCACCGCGATGAGCCCTCGGGTCGCAGGCTAACGGCGGCAAAACTCTGTGGCTCGGCGACGCCTTGCGGCACCGCCCACGCCACACGGATCGAGTCCTCGCCGGCGGCCTCCAGCGTCGGCGCGACCGCAGCCGGAGGAGGAGCCATGGCCAGCACCCTCGAGTACGATCTGGCAGCAGCCCTTTTTTAGCGCAGGCCCCCTGCAGCGGCCGGTGAGCCGGTGAGCCAAAAGGGCGGGGGTGGAAGAAATCTAGCGGGTTTACTTGCGTCTGTTCACAGCTCACGAGAGTAGAAGAAATCAAGCACCGGGAGGAAGAAAACAAGGGCCGACACGCAGACCGGAAACAGCCAAGGGGGGGAGGGGGCTAGTCCTGGTATCTAAATCCGTCCCTCCCTGGCATGTGTGTGTGAGAGAGATCTTCTTCCCCTCTTGGCATGCATGTGTAGGTGCGCTCGCGGCCGGGGTCGATCGATCGATGGAGGTAGCGCCGCGTACGTAGTGCGACGCGTTTGTGAGTCTCCCTCCGGCCGGCCGGCGTGGTGCGTCGATCGATCGAGTCTCGCCCTGCACATCTGATTCCACGCACCTCTCCCCGCTGTACGTCGCGTGCCAGAAGGGCCACCTCGAGATCGCCCGGCTGCTTGTCAATGCTTGCGCGGCGGTCGACCAGGCCAAGGGGGACGGCTGGACGCCGCTGTCCATCGCGTGCTGGAACGGCCGCCTCGAGTGCGCCCAGCTGCTCCTCGAGGCCGGCACGGCGGTCAGCCAAGCCAACGTCAACGGCGCCACGCCGCTGTACCGTGTACGTGGCGTGTTACAAGGGCCACCTCGAGATCGCCATGCTGCTTGTCGCTGCCAGCGCGGCGGTCAACCAAGCCAAGCAGAGTGGCTTCACGCCGCTGCTCATCGCGTGCCAGGAAGGCCACCTCGAGTGCGTCCGGCTGCTCCTCGAGGCCAGCGCGGCGGTCGACCAAGAGCCAGGAACGACGGCACCACGCCGCTGTATATGGCGTGCCAGAAGGGCCACCTCGAGATCGCGCGGCTGCTCCTCGAGGCTAGCGCAGCGGTCGACCAAGCCGAGGACGGCGGTTTCACGCCGCTGTCCGCCGCATGCCAGGAGGGCCACCTCGAGATCTCCCGGCTGATCCTCGAGGCCGGCGCGGCGGTCGACCACGCCACAGGCCGCGGCTTCACGCCGCTGTACATCGCGTGCGAGGAGGGCCGCCTCGAGTGCGTCCGGCTACTCCTCGAGGCCGGCGCGGCGGTCAACCAAGCCAAGGACGACGGCGCCACGCCGCTGTACGTCGCGTGTTACAAGGGCCACCTCGAGATCGCCATGCTGCTTGTCGCTGCCAGCGCGGCGGTCAACCAAGCAGACACTGCGGACGGCTTCACGCCGCTGTTCATGGCGTGCCAGAAGGGACACCTCGAGATCGCCCGGCTGCTTCTCGAGGCCGGCGCGGCGGTCGACCACGCCACAGGCCGTGGCGCCACGCCGCTGTACGTCGCGTGCCAGGAGGGCCACGTCGACATCGTCCGGCTGCTTGTCGGAGCCAGCGCGGCGGTCGACCAGGCCGAGGAGGACGGCTTCACGCCGCTGCACATTGCGTGCTACCATGGCCACCCCGCCGTCGTGCTCTGCCTGCTGCGGGCGGGCGCTGACACAGCGGCGCGCACCTCGGCCGGGCGTACGGCGCTGCAGTGGGCCAAGGAGAACGGCCACACCGAGTGCGTGTGCGCCCTTGAGGCGGCGGCGAGGGAGGCGAAGAGAGCGGAGATTGAGGCGAGGGTGGAGAGGGCAGTGGCCGAGAGGGCGGCGGCCGAGAGGGTGGAGGCCGAGAGGGCCGCCGAGGAGGCTGCGGCGGCGCGGGAGGCAGATGCGGTGCGGCACGCAGAGGAGCTGCTGGCGGAGGAGGTGGCGGAGAAGCGCGCCAAGGAGAGCAAGAAGGGCAAGAAGAAGGGCAAGAAGAAGGGCGGCGGGGGCGGTGCTGGGCCGTCGCAAGAGCCCAAGGCGGCGGCGGAGGAGGCGGAGCTGCGCTCGAGGAGAGCGCGAGGCTGGAGGAGGCAGGGGAGGCGGGCGGCGGAGGCGCAAGGGCCGTCCTCGGCTGCAGAGGCGCCGGCTCCGAGGGAGGAGGAGCCGCCGGCCGACTTCATCTGCCCGATCACGACCGAGCTCATGAGTGACCCGGTGATGGCGGCGGACGGGCATTCGTACGAGCGGTCGGCGATCGAGCGCTGGCTCGCGACCAAGTCGACGAGCCCGATGACGGGCGAGGCGCCGGATGGTCCGGGAGTGGCAGCAGGCGCGGGCTTGATCGCGCTCGGCTGGGCAGGGCCTTGGGGGTCGTGGCCAGCGCCACACAGTTTCGAACAGTGTATTGTCTACTGTGTATGGACCCAGAGGACCACTCGACAGATGAGACATCCCCTCACGCGTGTGTGCGTTGCGCGGTACCGTTCCACACGGTGTCTGCCGGGTGTGTGCTCTCTGCAACGGCCCAACGCCCAACGGGCTACACGGCTTTCCGTAGGTGGGCGCGCTATACAGAGGGCGCTCTGCCCCCTCGGGAGGGCCCGCCTCGGCCCTCGTCCCCCGGGTCCCCCCGCCCTCCCCGGGTGTGTAAAACGCACAAAACGGTATGTGAGCTTACCAGCTTTTCCCGAGATCGTCTAGACAGAGACACCTAAATATACGAGCGAGTGAGTAGCGACGTGCGAAACACACAGAGTGAGAGATTCCTAATAGGCACATGGTATGAGGGGCCGCGGTTGCGCGGGCGGCCTGATAAGCGAGAGAGCGCTCGAGAGAGCGGGACACTGCGTGCACGGGGCGCGCGAGGGTTCGGACACTGATCTCCAGCCACCTCTCAACAGAGGCGCATACGGGAGCGTGGCGACAGAGACAAGACACGGGGAGGGCGGTGGGTGGGAGAGGAAGGGGGCGCATGATACAGGTGTGGTCGCCCCGGCGCGCAAGCATGCAGCGGAAACCGAGCGGAGGCGAAGGCGCTCGAAGGGAAGCGCGCCCCCTTAGCTGGAGGGTTTGCCACCCTTGCTGTAGAAGAGGGACGAGAGCCCCTCCAGCGCCTCGACGTCGGTCGGCGCGCTCTGCAGCGGCGGCGCCCCCTCCCCCTCCGCCTCGGCCTCGATCTCGAGCGTCGAGAGCTGCGCGAGCAGGCGGTGGCACGGCGCCCGCGGGTGCCTCATCAGCGGGTTGTTGTGCAGCATCGCACGCGCCGCGCCGCGCAGCGCTCGGGCGCCGCTGCGGGACTCGAGGAGCCGCGCGAGGCACCGCGTCGCCTCTCTCCGCCCTCCGCCTCCGCCCTCCACGCTGCTGCTGCCGGCGCCCGGATGCGCCTGCATCCCAAACAGCGGCGCGCTGCCCGGAGGTGGCGTCTCCTCACCCCGCGGGCCGCTGCCGCCGAGCTCGCTCCCTGCCCCCTCGCCCGCCGCCCCCTCGCCTCCCAACCCCCCCTCCTGCTCTCGCTTGAGCCGCTGCCGCCGGTTCTGAAACCATACCTGCGCGGCGGCGGCAGGAGCTGGGCGGCGCTTCGAAAGGGAGCCCTCGCGCTGGCGCGCTGATGGAAGAGGAGAGGGGAGGGCGACAGGGAGAGGGAGGGAGGGGCGTCGGGCGCGAGCCGCGCCTGTATCTGCCGCTGGTTCACCTTAAGCGCCTCGGCCAGCTGCAGCCTCACCGGCCGCGCCGGAAAATTGTCTGCCTGAAAGATCGTCTCGAGGAGAGCGCGGCCCTCCGCGTCGGGCGTCCAGCGGCCCTTGGAGATGCCCGGCATGGCCACCGGCGCCATCGCGCCGCTCGCTCCCCGGTGCTGCCTGGGACGGGCGGGGAACAGTGGCGATGATGTGTCGCGCACAAAGTGAAGTGGCGGGCCGGCGCAGTCTCGCGGGGGCGCCGGACGTGGGGTGTGGAGGGCCATCGCTAGCAGGTGGTGGCCGAGTGCGCGGCCCCGGGCTGAAGTGATCCGGGAGACGTTCGAGCGGTGGTGTGGCGCGCGACACGGCGCGGCGAGGAGTGCGGCGGCAGGGTGGGGCGAGCGAGCGGTCCGAGGCGGCAGGGCGTGTGTCGGCGGGACCGCGCGAGAGGGGTCGGCTCGCACCGCCGGAACTCGACACTCTCGCAGCGCCTGCCCAAAAAAGTCCTTGCGGGCACCTTCCAACTCCCGCGCGCCGCGTCGCTTTCGCCGAGGGGGGTCGCGGGGGTTCCGTCGTCATCTGTGGTGACGGTGCCCGGGGTCATACATGAGAGAGGGGCCCCTCTCCCGCTTCTCCCAGTAAGCTAAAAGGACGTACATTGATGACAGCCGCGCGCGCGCGAGCGCCGTGCACGCGTGTGTGATGTAGCGCTCTCGATTGTCCCTTTGAAGAGATTTTAGAAAACCAACTTTGTCCGCGGCATGTTTGGTATTGCTAAAAATCTCTCTCGGCACCAGGTGTATATTATTTTTGCTTGGCCGGACATCATGATGGGGTAGGTAGGGTAGGGTCTGGGCCCTCCCGTCGGGTTTTTCCCTCTCTCACGCCGGAATTTTCACAGCAGAAAAAGAATTTTTCCGCCCAAATCACGATGTCAACCCTCCCCAAGTCGTTGATCTTTGTAGGGCTTGAGAGTTGCCATGTCACAGGAAGGACTGTGGTTGCAGGATAGTACCACCAGCCATCACTTTAGTTGGTATAGTACCCCACCTTCACCCACCCCGTGATTTCTTTTTTAGTTTCCCATAAGTAAGGTAGGTAGGTAGGTAGGTAGGTAGGGGCAGGGCAGGGGCCGGTCAGGTTTTTGCAGAATTTCATCATGATGTCCGGCCAAGCAAAAATAAACGCCACCTGTCGGCACGTGAATTTTCCCGTTTCGCCACACACGATGCTCGGGGGGGGGCGGCGGCAGTAGAGGCCGAGGGACCATACCCCCCCACCCCTGTCGAGGGCTACTCTTGGGCGGTCAGGACCATACCCCCCCCCCCCCCCACCCTTTGGGCCGCGATCGGACCATACCATACCCCGCAAAAGTTGGAACCCAGCTTGCTGTAGCTTGTGGTGCGAAACTGCGTCGTCGGCCGTCGCGCCAGACTTCCCTCCACACGATGCGCCCGCCTCCCCGTGGCGAGCCGTTCACCGACTTTGACGAGCTCGCCGAGGAGCTCGCTGCGCAGTTCAACGGCGACGCCACAGCGCTCCCGGACGAGGCCAAGAGCGAGTGGTCCGAGGCCGAGCTGCAAATGTTCTTTGCGAGTGGCGGTCCGCGCTCCACCCCATGCCGCCTCTCCCGCCACGCCTCTCTCCACCGAAGCGCGCCGTCCATTTGCACCGCACGTATAGACAGAACGTCACGCTCGGGTCCGTGGCGCTTGTCTCGTCGCAAGCCCATATCGCGCAGAGCACACGTCTCGCGCGCTTTCGCAAGCCCATATCGCGCAGAGCACACGTCTCGCGCGCTTGTCTCGTCGCAGGCCAGATCACGCCGCCGCCCAACCCGAAGCTGCGCGCGGCGGCGCGCGAGCTGGAGGCCAAGCATGACCTGCGCAGCCCGGCGCAGATCGAAGCGGACGCCGCGCTCGAGCTCGCGCGAGAGGCGGCGCAAAAGGCGCCGTGGTGGGAGAAGGTGACCGAGCTCGACCGGCAAAAGGCGGGCGTGTACCGCGACGCGGCGCTCGCGCGCGGCATCCCCGACCGGCCGCACGGCCTCATCCCCGCCGACGACCCCCACTTCCGCCAGCTGCACAAGGCCAAGCACATCCTGCCCTTCGAGAAGCACATCCTCTTCTGGGAGAGCAGCCAACCGCACATCAAGGGCGGCGCCGACGGCGAGAGCCGCAGCGTCGCGCTGCACGCGGACGAGGGCTACACGCACGGCGACTCGGCCTGCGCCGGCCGCGGGCTCGACCTGCGCTACTTTTGGGACTCGTCGACGCTCAAGGTGGTCGCGGCGGTCGCGTACTCCCAAAAGGCGGTCGGCGGCTGGTCGGCGGTGGAGGATGAGACGTCGACGCGGTGGCGCTCGACGCTGGTGCACGGCGGGCTGCTCGAGGCGGTGCTGGACGAGCTGACGGCGGAGGTGATGAAGATCAACATCGCGCCCGACATGGTGACGAGCGAGATGACGGTCCGCTTCAAGAAGCCGTCCTCGCCCGGCGTGGTCTACAAGGCGGAGGCGGCCATCGTCGACGTCTCGCCGCCGCTCGTCACCGTCTCTGGCAGGATCCTCACCCAAGGCGACGAGGAGGTGATCACCTGCACCGCAAAGTGCGCGATGCTCGACAGGCTCCCCTCGCGCCCCATCGGAGGCTTCGGCGGCGACGAGCGCCTCGAGCTGTCGCCGGCCGAGTGCCTGGAGGGTTCGTGCAGCCTGCAGGCGCGCGCGGCGGCCGGTGGCGGCGGCGGCGGCGGCAACGGAGCAGGCGGCGGCGGAGGCGGCGTCGAGGAGACTTTAAAGCAGATCCAGGCGCTGCAGGCGTCGCTCGTGGCCCAGCTGCAGGGCGAGTACTTTTGCGACGACGTCGAGCCGCCGCCGGGGGCGCTCGGGTGGGAGGCGGGCCGCTTGCGCGAATATTTCGAAGCCGGCGGCGCCTAACGAGATTCATTGCGCGCGGGGGCTTGGGCGGCGGGTGTTCTTTTGTATTTAAGCCGGTGTGCGGTCACGAGGCGGAGGGTTGCCCCGCTTTGCGCCACACCACTCTGTGTATAGTATGTGTGCGGTGGAGCACCTGTGGAGCACGTCGAGATAAATTAAGAAAGAAACAAAGGCTAGTCCAATTCACTCTCTGACCCGCTAATCTCTTGTGTCTTGAAAACGCGTCCAACGGAGCTCCGTGTTGCTCCCAGCGCTCTCCCCGCTCCCCCGCGCTTCCTGCGGCCATGGCCGATGATACTAGTATGGGAGGTCATCTGGCTACCGCGAGAGCGACCAACACGTCGACATCCTTCGTCCGATGATGGTGCCTCAAAGTCAGCCGTCGGAGGCTAGGGTCGAGCCGGCAGAGTAGGCGTGACATGTGGTTCCACCACCCCTCGTAGGCTTTGCCTCTGCTCGCCACCGTTCCCAGGCTGCCTAATGGGATGGAAAGGAAGGCTGGACGAGCGTATAGAAGCGTGATCGACCTCGTCGTGGCAACTTGCACGGCAGCGCTGGCAGGCGCGATGAGCGTCGTGCCACCTGACCCGAGACGGGTCGCAGGCGTCGTACCGAGCGCGTCGAGACCGTGTCCTGATGCGCTCTGCACGGGTGAGTCACGTCGGCGTCAAAGGAGCGACGTGCGACCTGTCAGAGCTTGATCTCCGATCTTTCGGCGTCGAGTCGTCTCCGGCGGCGACACTATTGTACCTCCCCAGGACGCGCAGAGGCAGCTGCGACCCCGCCGA